TTAATTCATACGAAATACGAGCGCTTTGTTGACGATTATAGTAGTCGTAGACAACGATGGGAACGCGTTGACACCACAAAGGGAGACACAAATGTTGTCATATATTTCGATAGAGTTAGTCATTAAATGCTAGGAATTATAGGATTTTGTGACAATTTGTATGCATTTGACAGATAACCCGATCGAAGATCTTTCTGACAGTCTGTGGCCATCGGACCCATCGTGTGGTCAACACTAAAGCCGTTCCCATCGTTGTCTACGACTACTATAATCGTCAACAAAGCGCTCGTATTTCGTATGAATTAAACTGATTGTCTGAATGTTTGAATTGAAATTTGAATTATTTCTATGTTTTTAAAGTAAATCTGATATTTATTCATACATGAGATAAATTAAAAACAAAACACGATTTTATAATAAGCAAATTGTAATTTAAGAATTACAAGTATATTATTTAAGATTATAATTTAATTTTTAAAGTTCAGCTTTTAAAAATTATTATAATTATAATTATTATTATTGCAAGTTATCTTATTACATTATAGTAAATGGGGTTTGATTATAAAAATATTTTGAGTTTAAGAGTTTATTTGACTTTTAATAAAAGTTTAATATAGAAAATACAATAAAAAGTTATTTATTTAACCCTAAATGAATACTTTCACTAAAATGATTACATCTACTAAAAAAATAAATGTATACTCTACAGCATACTGTTCCAAAATAGGCCAGCTGGCCATTTTTGTAGTACATTTTTATTGGCCTATTGGAAATCGGTTCACAAACATAGTGACAGAATAGAGTGAGTGAGTAAAAAATTAAATAAAAATAGAAGTTACAAACTGTAATAATGAAAATTAGCAATAATTATAACATAAATTATATTTATCTGTTTAAAAGGATCTACATATAATACATATTTCTAAACTTACCAAAATTGTTTTTATAAAATGCTGGGTCCATGAACAGGGCGGATATTTGTTTACAAACTTTTATGAAAATAATTATATATCTAACCATTATTCTTTTACCGAAATGGGTCTAGCTATAAATCTAAATTTGTTTAAAGATTAGGTCAATTGATAGGTAAGCTGAAAGGGATTCATAACGTGCATCACTCCAATAGGTAAACCACTTTTGACGGCCGCTGGACTTTATAACAAAATATAATGTATTTATATTTATAAAGTATATTAATAGTTGTTAAAAGTATTTTCAGTGAAATTTAAAAATAATTGTGTTATTAATACAGTTTAAAAAGCAATTACTATATTGTGTTCACTCGCACGCCATTGTTGGCCAACTCCAGTGCCGCACATTTGGTGAACATATCTAACGCACACTTTGACAAATAGTATGGAAACGCGCTGACAGTCTATTATAAAACATATAAAAGTCAAACATACAGCACATCTGTTAAATAACGGGTGGTGTTGTGTGTCGAACGGCGCTAACCGATTGTCGTAATTATTATCATGGTCATATTTTCATTTCGTTTGTTCATGAAAATTTTTGTCCGATCTAAATTGATTGCAATTTGTTTTATATAGCTAGTTATGAATTAAAAAAGAATTTAACTTGTGTCTATTTAGTATTTCTAATTATACACAAATTAATTTAGTTATTCTATTTATAATCAAGTTTATGTCATTATTAAAGTATTGCGCTATGATAGTTATATTTTTTAAAATTTTATTTTAATAATAAATTCAAAAATATTTATAAAACAATATTGAAATAAGTGTTCAATGAATTATTATTAGACTCAAATTTTTAGTTTATTTTCATTGAATAGACTAATATTTTGGGTTATATTAATTTATATAATTTAAATAATATAACATACTATTTTGCAAATTAATATCACAACTATTCTAACATATTTATTAAAAATTGTATTATTTTACATATATTTTGCCAATACTTGAATATTCAAACTTATGCCTAACTCTAACAAATACACAGTCTTTAAGGTTAGAAAAAATTCAGAGGAAAGTAACTAAACTTATTTGTTTTAAATTAAAAAAAATGGTTTGAAATATAATCAGAGATTAAATTTTCTGGAAATGTATTCTTTAGAGAAAAGGAGAAAAATTCAAATCTTAAGATTGTATTTAATGTTAAAATTAAGAATATATATTATGTGAAGTATTTTAATAATTATGACTTTTATACAACTACTAGAAATGGATTAATGTGTAAAACAAATGTGGTGTTATAACTCATTTGGAGGACTTTTGTATAGCATAGAAAATATAGTCATGTAGTGAAATGCTTTAAATTCCCAGCTTACGATTATACATTTTAAAAACTCACCTTACTCATTCATACGAATACATTAATTCATGTTCAATGTGTAATCGTAAGCTGTTAATTTAAAGCATTTCACTACATGACTATATTTTCTATGCTATACAAAAGTCCTCCAAATGAGTTATAACACCACAAATGTCAACGCAATTAATTTGTGTGATAAAAATATTTTCGATTATTCTATAAAACTTTTTAATCAATTACCTATGCTTTTACGAAACGAATGTAAATATAATACTTTTTTAAATAATTTAAATGTTTTTTATGATCAAACATGTAACTTTTAAGACATGTTCTTAAATTGAAATAAATATTCATTCATTCATTCAAAAATTGTCTTGATTATAACGAGTACAGTTATATATACAATAAAAGGCGGGACCCCATCGATTGACCTACTTTCCACAAGTTGAGTTAAATTTATTTATGTATAATATTTAAACAAATTTACATTCAACACTTATTGCAAAAGTGTGTTTACAAAAGTTTTCGATAAGTATAATAAATAACGTAAATATTTGTTGATATACTTTATTAAAAATAATTATTAAATTAAATGAATACGAAATATAAAAGGTGAACCAATTGATTCAGTGATTTGGTTAAAATTTGTTTAACTTATGCATATAAGATTGTTCTAGGACGGTTTCAAGATAGATGTATAATTGTTTTTTGCCTATTTAAGTTATTGATTATTATTATTATTGCTCAATTTATTAACAAATAAGTTGGTTTTAACTAATATTATAATACTGAAATAATTAGTCAGCATTTATTAAATGATAGTCATTATGTAAACAGTATGTATTTATACAGCGTTATTAAAAATGCAACTACATATTAAAAATTTTATCAAACTTAGTAATAATTTAATACAATAAAAATGTCTGAAATAAATGCCGACAATAGGATTGGGAGTCCGGGAGAGACCTTACATTCGGTGGGTATTTCGTGGACTAATATCCGGGTGTCGACTAAAACACAGAAATTTATTTACAATTTCTTTGAAACTAAGAAAATGCCGAAAGAGATCATTCGTAACGGTATTATAGCTTATATTTTACAAACATATTATTTGTACTAGTGGAGTATAGCAAAATTATTTCTTATTAATAGTATCTGGTTCAGTTAACGCTGGAAGTCTATTAGCAATTATGGGCGCCAGGTATAATTTCAAAAACAATATACATTATTTATTACATCATGTTGAATTTAATATATCTGTGCTTTCAAAATAAAAGCCAGATTATATATAGGCTATGAATTGGAAGATTTTTTATTGCTTGCGAGTCAAGTATATATTAAATACATATATACTTTTAAGCTTGACTCGCAAGCAATAAAAAATCTTCCAATTCATAGCCTATATATAATCTGGCTTTTATTTTGAAAGAACAGATATAATAATTTTTATGTCAACAATGATTACGACTAGAGTTTTGATTTGTTTTATTTATCACTAATTATTTATATTTAAAAATATTTTTTATTTATTTTGTCATTCAGTGGCTCCGGAAAGACGACTCTATTGAATGTATTGACGGCAAGAAATTTACGGCAACTGTCCGTCAATGGAGTGGTACTCGTGAATGGACAGGCAGTCAGTCAACAGACCATTGCATCCATTTCCTCGTATATACAACAACACGATTTGTTTCAACCCATGCTTACAGTCAGAGAGCACCTGATGTTTCAGGTATTTATCATAGGGTTTAAGATTATACTTATTATAAACAGAATATTGTGACAAATATTTGATTTTTAAGGTATTGTTAAGAATGGATAGAAATTTGAGTGAAAATGAGAGACAAGATTGCATTCAACGAGTTATTCAAAAGGTTTATATAAATGATCCGAAAATTGAATAATTATTTGAATAAATTAATTGAAATATTTTAGTTTAATTTAACGAAATGTGCGGAAACAAGGATTGGAGACAAAAATCATTTTAAAGGCATTTCCGGCGGAGAAATGAAAAGACTGTCCATTGCTTCGGAAGTCCTCACAAACCCTTCGCTAATGTTTTGGTCAGAAATACATCTCAAATGTAATTATCTTATGATTTAAATAATGATAATATGTTTCACTTTATCAGCGATGAGCCGACCACTGGTTTGGACGCATTTATGGCCAAAAGTATATTACAAGTGCTGAAGACTATGGCATCGGAGGGACGGACTGTCATCTGTACTATACATCAGCCCTCGTCTCAAGTGTTTGAACTCTTCGACAGTCTATTACTTATGGCTGACGGAAGGGTAGCTTTCATGGGCTCTATCGGTACAGTAAATATAAATTCATTGCTATAATAGTTATAATTTGCAAATGTATTGCACTTTTAGGTGACGCCAAGAATTTCTTTTCATCGCAAGGATTAGTAAGACTTGAATGACAGTTGTCTACAAATTGTAAACATTTTGATTTCATTTGTCAAAACAGTTTTGCCCAAACACCCACAATCCGTGCGATTATTATGTAAAGCAACTGGGTGAGACTTATATTTGTAAATAACTAAATATTATTTCATTTTATATTTATTTTACGCCCACAACAGCCATAACACACACTAATTATTCGCAAACCAAACGCAAAGTTAATGTAATTTTTATTATAGTTTTTATATGTTTTAAATAATTAATTACTGAACTTATCTCAAAATACAGCAAATTTGTGACAATTATCTCGAATCGTTTTATTCGGGGCTAACTATAAATGCAAATCAGGGCACCACTCGAGGAACGCCTACATTAAACACACCGATACTGGGATCAGGCTATAGGGCTGGCTATTGGCGACAATTTGTGACACTATTATGGCGCTCATATACAACCCTAATCCGTAATCCCCAATTGATACTAGAACGATTGGCTATGTATTTGGTAAATATTAACCATGTCAATTTTTGAACACTAATGGTTCCAATGGTTATGTATAAATATATGGCAGGTTAATGTATTCTGGATGGGCATTCTGTATTATAATATTGGACACGCCTACTCCGATGCGAGTAATATTATGGGAGCACTTATTATGGTTATGGGAGCCAGTTGTATACCACCCATATATTTTGCTTTAGTGGTAATTATTTAAATATTATGCGGCGTTCACAAAGTACGTGCATACGTTGATCACGCCAATATGTGTGTACCACCATGTTCATGTAATAGGTACCATAGGCGTGTTGATGGGAGGGGTCATGTTTTGCATAGAAACTCTGTGAACACCGTCCTAGGTGATTTAATGCATGTATTGCCACCAATTTTCTCTATATATTGTCAGATATTAGTGGATGAGATGCCACTGCTATATAGGGAGCACCACGACCGTACGTACGCTGTGCTGCCATATTTTTTGTCTACCATTATGATCCAGGTGCGATATACAAAACATTAATGTCTCATTTTAGCT